CAGGAAACACATTTTATTAATTTAGTTTCGACGACAGCGGCACACCTCATCCCACTCGAGGTTTGGTGGGGGCTTTTTGGGACAGCGTAGTAGCACTTGGTAGGTAACCACCTTGCGGAAAAACATGAAGGCATTATAAGAAGTTTAACAGATGTGAATCCTTTAATACAAAAACAGGCATTAAAATGGATTTCCAAGACCTGCCATCCCCGCCTTTCACTTTTGCAGACGTTCTCGTAAAGGTACGTTTCAACCAAGTGAGGGATTGAATCACCCGCACCCCAGTACTGCACAAAATGAGCTGAAAAACGGGGAGTAGAAAAAGAAGCTGAAGGGCACTAGAATTGCAGATGACCGTGTCCCTCAGAACAACGCTTGACCTCAGTACTGGCATCAAATAGACTAAACATTCTTTAACAGGAAAATATTTTGAATTTTATTTTTTCACGTTATTATCAAGTACACAATTACAATAATGTCACACATCCCTATATGATTCTATGTATTTTGTTTTTTTCTTTTGTCTTTTTTACAAAGTGTACAGAGGGAAGGACGTATACAATATTTAACAGGGTATTTTCTACAGAACAATAATTTATATTATGTCCTTGTAAAAATCTGTACCTTTTTTAAACATTAAACTGAAACATCCATTTTATAGCATTTGCTAAGCAAATTATTTAAGAATTAAAACTAACCTGTAACTAATGTCAGTACATTAACAATAACTATAATTTCATTTTCTCTTTATACAGACAAATACATTTTACAAAATCCACTTGACCAAACCCTTAATTATTAAAAAAAAAGTTTCAACATTGTGCTTTAAAAAAAAAAAGTGTGTATGATTCCAGGCTACGTAAGAGAAAGAAAATATGTAAAATTGTGTTCTTTGTCTTTCAGCTTATTTAAAAAAATAAAGTTCAAAATGGCTAAAATCCTCGGCAATGCTATGGGAACTTATGCAGATTTTGTACACTTTTCAGGTTTCCAGTTAGAAAACGCTTCAACGTAAGAGGGGGGAAAAAAAAAGTTGCAGGGGGGTACTCTGCAAGACGCGAATAGAAGATCTCTACTGGGTTTTACTGCATCTGATTTGGCAATCAGGAGGCAACAGACAGACAGCTACGGCCGTGTAGGAAATCCACTGACTTCACCGGGGATTTCACCGAAGGCACAGTGCAGCACATCTAGGTATTACACACTAAAGGTTCACAGCCCGTTAGTAGCAATATTATACAGGAGCACGTTAGGCAAGTCTGGGGGCACTGTCAAGCAGGCATCAAAAGAAAAAAAACATACAATAAAGGTAGTGACATGGCATTCGACTTTCCTGAACTGCAAATTAAAAACACAAGTATTTCGGCTTACAGTGAAACAGAAGGGCTGAGCAGTAGGAGCAGGGCTTGGTAACAAAACAAAATACAAAAGGCTTAGGAGACGCACATCTGAAAGGAAACCTTTGACCCTTTGTCACCCCAAACCTGAAATCATCACTGAAATTCCTGTTCGATTTCCATAGAAGTCTGCCTGCCTAGAAACAGCAGTCAACACTGGGCCAGGCTCTGAACCTCTTCCATTAGTGGACTGTCGGTTACAAATCTATCCTAAGCTGGGAGGCAGCCTGGTCCGAATCCTGCACTCCATCATCAACCAGTGGCTTCGGCGGGAATTTGAGCAAGGGGAGCAGGGCCGGGTCCTAAAATCTGGCATGTAATGAAATGGTTTGGGCTTTTTGCTCTACAGTTGTGGTTAAGGTACGTGACTTCGTGCTTAGTACGTTTATGCTGCAATTAGCAAATGATATGGCGCTATTTTATAATAGTCATCAGGTGGCAAAATTGCATATAATAATTGTAAAGTTCTCCCAGCTGTTTATAAACAGATTAAAAGAACTGGGTTAATTCTGGATAGTGTACTAATTAATAAACAGCAGCTTAACACAGCTGCTCATGGCTCAGGAAAAACATTCAATTTAGAAGCAGTTCTGTTACTATCGTAAGTTACTTTTCTTATTAAGGATATCTGCATTAAAACATCTCTACTCCTTATGCATGCATCTGCTCCACTCCATCCCCTTCTGAAGCTCTCACTGTAAATATCTCATTTCCAAAATCGAGGCACCTCTTGGTCTTACATGTTATTCTAAAACACCTCACAATAAAAATGTGACCTGAACCACAAACTGTTCTTTCAAAGAAATACTAATATACATAAAAGCAGTAAGTTTGAGGTACGTTTACCGGCATGTACAGACAGTTTTGACCTATTAACTCTGCAAATGGAACAACAGTATTTTATGTTTCCAACAGTAAGACAGCAGTAAATTGAAAAAACCCCAACTGATTTTGTAACAGGCAAAACCTTTCAAAGACAAAGAAGCACAGAACAATAAACATAATATTTGAGCATACTTTTAAATTTGCCAAAGAAAGATAACAAACGCCTCAAACCACTTTTTAAAAATTTTTATCTCTGAAACCTGAATTAAAATGCAGAATACTTTTCTGCAATAAAGTTAGATGTGTAACTCCTCAAATGGAAAATAGTTAACCTGCCACAAAGTCCATATAGTCAAAACAAGACAATCAGGTGGGCCCTAGCGACTTTATCTTCAGCATCACAATTCCCCATTTTATACACACCTCTGACAATTTTATCAAGAGAAATTTCATATTTTTAAAATTCACGACAAAACTGCATTAACATGGACACTGTGAGTATCAACGAGGTCAGTAAGATAAATATACTTAAATAAACTATTACGGTTGAAAAATTCAGTAAGAGACAGGGTTTACTTTATTAAATGCAACTTTATTGTTGCCATCTTTTCTTCATTTATTAAACAAACTGAATAGAATTCAGAACACGCTATTGAACAAAAGGTATAAAAGTCAACTAGAAGCAATAATCCTATTTTTATACAGCAACAAATCAAATGCACAGTATGTTTTTTTTGTTGTTTTTTTTGTGTGTGATCGCAGGTGATTGGCTTTAAAATAAGCTAACTGCCTGAAAGGCAAAATTCCTTTATAATTCCAGCCGTAAGTCTGTGAAAGAGACTTTAAGGCAGCCCAACATCTTTATGATGCCGCATAATGTGCTGGTTCTTCTCTGAAGGCCTTCGGAAACCTTTCTTGCAATACTCACAACGGTGAGGGTAGTCTTTTGTATGAATGGAAATAACATGCCGTTTGAAGCCTGAGGCGTCTGTAGTGCTATACTCACAGTACTCACATTGATAAACTTTCCTGCCACTGTGTGTTTTCATGTGTTTTTTCAGCTCGTTTTGTTGCCTAAAGCCCTTTCTACATCTCTTGCACCTGAATGGAAGATCTTTTGTGTGAACTGAGAGTATGTGGCGACTCAGAATGAACGGATCTGCAATCTTAAAGTCACAATGTCTGCACTGGTGCAATTTTTTACCCTTGTGAGCCGCCACGTGTTTTTTCAGTTCCGAAGGCCTATGAAAGCCTTTATCACACATATCACACTTATGAGGATAGTCTTTTGTGTGGACTGAAATTATGTGTCGTTTCAGATCACTCGAGTTTGAGCTCTTATGGTCACAATGCAAACATTGATGTGTTTTACTTTCTTGATGCATAAGCGTATGCTGCTGTAGCTCTTTGGTATCTGAAAAAGTCTGGAAACAAATATCGCACTTGAACGGCGTTTCCTTACTGTGTTTAGTCTTTACGTGAGTTTTCAAGTTAGAAGAGTCGGCAGATCGGTATTCACAATATTGGCACTGGTACGGTTTTTCACCAGTGTGGATTCGCATGTGCTTCTTGAGCTCCGATGGATGGCGAAATCCTTTGCCACACTCCACGCAAATATGAGGAAAGTTCTTGCTGTGGACAGCTAAAAGGTGATGACTCAGTAACCCTTGTTCTGCTGTCTCATAATCGCAGAATTTGCACTTGTGCATTTTATTAACGCCTTTGTCCCTGTGCACCATCTTGTGAGTAAATAAAGTTCCTGCATGAGAGAAGCTTTTCCCACACTCATCGCACTCAATAAGCTTTTCTGTTTTGTTGGTCAGCTTATGACTCTCCAAGTGGTTATGTAAACTTATTTTTTTATTCGTAGTGTAATCACAGTCTGTGCATCTGTATTTCTTCTTAGTAAGAAGGTGCTCCGGGTGGTTTTTCATGTGCCTTTTCAAGAAACCTCTAGATTTAAATTTCTTTCCACAAATCATGCAGGGGTAGACTGTCAACGGATGACCATCAGGGCCAATGATTATTGCTGAAAAACAACAAAAAACCCTTCCTCAATATTATACAGCAACATTACACTTCAATAAATGTCGTATTTCAACCTTAACAATAAGCTGAATCGTTAAATAAGATCAGAGTCAGAAACATACACTACCCTATATAATAAACAAGCTTGTTACTGAGTTAGGTAGAAGAAATTGAGGGAATTACTACTTTCATTCATTATCATTACCAGGAGAAAGGAAATACTGTTTTTTGATGGAGACAACCAAAGCATCACCCAGCTGTTCTTCACCTTAAATAATTCTACTCTGAAGAATTCTGCCCAAGTTCACACATTAAATACACACAGAAACCAACGCTGGTGCAAAGAACAGCAGCCAACTTGTTGAACTCAGTATTACATAGTAAGCATAGCACATGATCTTCTTTGACTTTCCACGAATCTGTGGATAAAGTTTAATCTGGCAGTTTAATCACCTACCACTGACTACAATTCACACGTCCCCAAACTAACACCGCCTTCTTGTGCCATCTGTCACAGTTACAGTCTGAAGAGGTATCAAGCAGGAACCAATGAGAACACATTTCACATACAGACACCTCAAAGCTTTGGAACTTACTTGCACTCATCCATCAGCCTGATTTGTTTACCCTGAATTTGTCTAGGCATGCTAAAAAGCTCTCTTTTCCAAAAATGTTTTAGAAGGAGAACTGACTAGGTAGCTGGAAATAGAAAAAGCAAACTTCAAGATTAAAATTTGCCTGGTTTACTAATTCAGTGCTAGAAAAAACAGAACTCCTACAGTTAAGTCACAATTTGGAAAGAAACTTTTAGCATCATTTAAGTCAAAGCTACTAAAGGAAGTACTACGTGTGCACACTACATGTGCTTCTTCAACTTTATCGACCAAATAAATCATTCAGACCGTAACACAGTAACAACAGAAACCAAATAATGCCAAAACAGCGCATCTGTTCTTACAGATGCAAGTAAGAACACTGGCATGAACATCAAGGCAATTTATTTCACAATTAAAACAGGAAAGGGTATAGAAGTTACACTATCTACTGTAACATATAAAGTTCAGATTTTCCAGTTACTTATTGAGCTGATATAATGAAATGTATTGTTTTATATCTTTTCAATAAGGACAAAAAGCCTCTTTAAGAAGTACTACTACAGAACACTTTATCTAACATCACTTGTTAAAAAGTTACATTAAGCATTAGAATTGGTATGGCAAGTTAAGTTTATAGGTTTTTAACCTTTTGCTATGATACGGATTTTTTCTATGTCAGAGATGGTTTCCTTTAAAACACTCCCCACAAAACAAACTAGCTATGTATTTAAAAATTTTAAAATAAAATACGGACTCATTTATGATGGAGAAGTGTTGTCAACAAAATAATTCCCAAAATAATCACTGTTTTTTACATGACTTTGCACACCCTACCAGTAAAGTACCTCTGTTCATGGATGAGTGCCTAGGGGAACGAGAGTACAGCCAGCCACCAGATACTCACCTGTTTGATACTGCCTAGACTCAGGTCTCCTTTTTTTCTTTGGTTTTTGCTTAGCCAGTCTCCCAAGTCCAGCTGACTCATCTATGTGCAAAAGAGCACTTGCAGTGCCATTCCGACTTTCAATGCCATCATTATTATTACCTAACAAGATAAGTTAAAAAGTTATCTACCATCATCACTCTACAGATTATTCGAGCAACAAACTCTACAATGATAGTAAAAGAAATTATAACTATTATCTGGACATTTAATCAAACCATAATAATGTACAGGATGAGCTGCAAAACTTCTCTGTATGTAACTTATGAATTACGTTTCGTATTATGAACCTAGAAGCATTGGCTTTGTTAAACTAATTTTACAGGAGTACAGAATTTACAGGAATTAGTGGTTTTCCATTTCACAAAGAGTTCTCCTTTTAATGCAGTATTTTTTGCATTTCTTGGGTTGCTAATTATGCCCAAAATGTTTAACATCAGTACACAATAACTTGTCACAATATTTACTGTGCCCCATTTTCTTCTCAGTCCTGAAACATGTTCATGTGTGAGCTCCCATTCACTTCTGGACATACGAATTCACCTGACTGAAGTTTCTCACACACCAAGTGTGGAACTGCGATCAAAGAACCATTCTGAACAGCCCATAAACTTGCACACTACTTACTATTTGCACACCTGATGCTTTAACACTTACAAATTCTTTCTACTTGGAACAAAGAGCATGCTCAGTATTGTATAATAGAAAGAAGGAAACAATCTTTGCCTCACAGAGCTTTGTGTTTAATACACAAATGGTATCAGTGCATGTAAAACAAACATGAAAATTCCAAGTAAATATACCTATATATAGGTATATATACCTATACCTCGGGAAGGTATTTATTGGCAATCAGTTTAACACTGGTGATTTAAAAGCATAAGCAAATTTTAATAATAAATTTTGTGGTTAAGTATCTACTTGAATCAATAAAAGGCAACAGTTCCTAGTGAAAGCAAAGCACACAAATAAGACAGGAAGATTGAAGTGGAAGAAAGTGCAAGATGCTCAGTAGCTGTTCCCTTTGTAGAGTGCCAAGAATGAATATTCACAATTAATGTAAGACGACTCAGAGCCAGGAACAGGCATGTGCAGAGCCTGAAGATTCTGATCTATATGCTAGCTCAAGTGTTGAACAGAAAATGTGGCAAGTGACAAACGTTGAAAACAAAAACCCATTTCACATCTTACATGTAGAAAGTCTGCAACAGGTGCATGAAGAGTCCTACAGTATAATGCAAAACAGGCCCCAAACATTTTCTAATACTAGAATAAAATTGCAAAAACTTTCTGGAATGTAAAGCACAGTGGGACTGGGCTTTGCTACAATACAGCAACAAAACAAATTTAACATTTTAAGATGCCCTCTTTAAGTGGAGAAGACTTCTGAGAAGTGCAGATGACAAACCTCTGCCATTTTCATGCCTTAATGCTTCATTATTTCTTCCCTTCCCCGCCACCCCTCACCTTGCATGTTAGGTTGCTTATTGCTGACAATGCAATGACTCCACTGTTTCCTACGTTCTTAAATTCTCCTTTCAATCCCATCTCTCTGTTCTTAATACTCTGCTCGATTTTCTCCTCCTCCAAAATAACTGAATGTTCAGTCTACAACTGTTGTTTCGAGTTGACTTAACTTCATTTTTAATTTGCACTCGACCTGCCTTCTGTCCTTTCCTCTTCACTGAAACTGTGTTCACCAGGCCAAAGATAAGGCTCTGGGTGCACTACCATCCATCTCCTAAACAACTTTTAACACACGCTGCTCCCTGAAATCTTGCCCTCCCCTGACTTACATCTGTGAGTGCAGTCCCTAGTGCATTCTCAGCACTTTCCGGCCATTTGTTTGCTGGCACCATCACCACAATCCACATCATGCAGACATATAACCTAAGTTTTGTCCTCTACTTCACTATTTCTTCTGCTTCGTTTACTCAAAGTATGTTTAGAAGGAGGACGGGGCAATACAGAAACATTTCTAAGATGAGATTTTGCTCTACCAGCTTACATAAGTTTTGGAAATCAGTTTGTGCAGCAGGTGGTGCTCAGATACTATTGTTCAAGAAACAAGGTTCTGCATGCTGGAAATATTCTCAAGGTTCTGCTATAATTTTAAGATGTCTCCTTCCAGCTTCTTTTTTGTTAATCAATTAATTATTTCCATTAGTGAAATCACATATTTGTATGTTCCTTCTAGAAAGCATTTAAATCAAGCTAAAGGTCAGTGTTGCTTTTCACTGTTACACTGAATCTTACATATTCCCATTTGCTTTTTTTTCCCCCCCAAATAAAAATATTCAGTTCTATTCCCAAGCCAGCTCTTACTGTGTCCTAAAACCGTGAAGGACAGATGTACTTGAGATGCAATTTTTCAGCTGAAAGCTCATGTACCTCCCCTTCTACATCATGAAAATATGTAGGAAAACGCCTGTTAAAAAAGGAGTAAGAAGCATTCTGCCTTACAGCTTGTTTCTTCTTCTCTTAGTTTTAAGGCTCATTATGCCAAGAAATCATTCTTGAACTAAAACTTTAAAAACAAACACACAAGCACAAATACTCCACTACCCTCCAAAAAACAATCCCCAACATTTTGCTATAGACAGTGTCACCAGGAAGAATTCTTTGAGTATTACCTACCATAAGCTGCTGCCCAAGCTATGGGCATGAAAGTTTTAATTTCAGTGTCATCAATTTGCTGTTCATGGGCCACTGCTGCATCCTCCTCTCCTACAATCACTTCCATATAAACCTCATCAGCTATTTCTGCAACATCTAAGAGAAAAAGAAGTCAAGAAAAAATTAATAGGAACACTGCACTGCTGAAAGTGAAAATCCCTGTTCCCAAATGAAAGCCACCTACTTACTTAAGTCTTCATCTTCATGCTGAGAATCATTTACAGTCATGTAAACCATTTTCTCCCTTGGAATACGAATACTGCTATTTTGATCAAGTAATCCAACTGCGTGGTCATTCTCTGGCTCGCTCTCCACAATGTCTACTGTGCCCCCTAATTCAGAAGACCAGAGCAAAATATTTTAAACACACTTTGTTCAAATTCTACGCTAAACTGCAGAAAACAGAAAGTTTGTCACTCTCTAACATTAGACCTCCAGCTCATTACAGATGACTTGAAAGAAACAACAGTCTCTAATTATGCAAAATTTCAAATGTCAGGTTGGAGTATTCTAAAATGAGTATATTTTACCTAAATCATCTTCTCCAGGATCTGCTTTGAATATATAGACCTTGATGACTTCTGGACAAATGCCATCCACTTTACAAGAGCCACTTTCTGACTCTGCTTCCATGGTTATTTCAGCAGAACCTTCGTGTTCTATCTTACCAGCATCATCCACTACAAAAACAAGTTATTACAATTATCCAGTCATATACAGACAGACATATATGAAAGACTTTATTACTTTATTACTCAAATTTGGAAGCAGTTTAAAATTACGTTGTGATAAAGAACCTACCCATAAACATTTTTTTCATATCCTTGAAAACAATGACAAGAAACACAGGAATAAATTCAAGCCGTATCTTCTAGTTAAGGGGGAAGCGCAAGAATGCTGCAGTGGTATGACTAGAAGCATGAGCACCACACCAGGCAATGCTAATAGGGAAACAGTGATCTGCAGCAATATGATGGTAGGAAGAAACTGCACATTAGTACTTACTCTGTGGCATAATTTCACTTATTCTCAGTTTTAACTGCTTTCTCCTCCACAACTAATAAGTTATTAACTGTTTTTTTCAAAAGCATTATCTGTTGCTCAACCCTGTCTCTAACGCAAGCCAGTCAGACCTGGTTCCTTGCAAAGCGGTGTTATTGATGCTTCTTCAGCTGACTAGAGAGGAGACCTAAATGAAAACTACAGGAAGAAAACCCTATACTTTTCTCATCCACTCAACAGCTGAGGGAGCGAGCACAGTGTCAAAGCGCTGCCCTGATGCTACAGCTACAGAACCTATTCAACTAATCATTCATGGTGAAAGGGACTTGCACTGAACTTTATGCTGTAGCCCTGTATACCCTCCTTACTATTGTCTCAAATTTCACTCCCTTCCTTTCAGAAGTGCACCGACACCACGCTTCAGTCTGAATTGCCATAACTTGCCTAGGCCTCCCACATAAGCATGGCTAACAGCCAACTTTATGAGGAACACATTTCTGATTTTTAACACATACTCCACATAGGCACCCGCGCACACACACACCCCATCTTAGTTTACCAAGCATGGGTTTTCAAGAAACAAATACTAAATATGCGTTCACATCACAAGACCTTCAGACAATCTCCCCAATTCAGGAGCCTCAGAAGTTTCTCCAGTGTTGAGATTATTTAAGAATTCTTAACATGATGGCATACTTCTGTAATTTGTGACTTTATTGTTGATAAAGTCACTTTTGGAGGCTGACGTGGCTCCCTCAGAGCCATACATAACTTCAATTCATGACAACACGACATGAAAGTTACGCTAAAGGAAGTGTAAGAAGTGTCCCATAAATGCTGTAGAATTTTTAACTACCACATACAAAATGCTTAATAAAGTATGCTTATTTTACTGGCAGTCATTAAACTACCCTCATAACTAAATCATAGCTTTACTGCTCAGTAACTGCAAGTCTTCCATTTACTTGAAGATCTACTTAAAAAAAAAACAAACTCAAAACATTATTACTATTATTTTCCTGCCATGAAGTCAATAAATTAGTCTTTAAATTAGATAAACTAGCACGTGTTCTGTCTCATGTATCAAACACAACTGTATTTAAGTACAATTTCTCAATCAGCCATCATTATTCACAAAGAAATATGAATAACATTAAATTATGAACCACTAAAATAAATTAGTCTCTCTCTCTCCTCACCAAAAGAGCAGCAGAAGAAACATTACATACTCTTACGGCAAGTTCATGATCAATGGCCACTATACAGAATGTTTCAAGCAGTACAATGTTTAAAAAATGATTTTGTGCCACAGGATAATATAACATCTTGTAGCTGAAACCCCAAAGCATTTCAAAAGTAAAAACCTTAAAATTTTCTTTTGAATCATGTCAACAATGTAGCTCCACAGCACGTATATTCAGTTATTGAGCAGACTTTCATGAATTCTTTGGCATATGCATGAAACACCAAACATCCTTGGAACTACAACAAAAAGAAAACTTGCTTTCGTTCCTACACTAGATTTATGTAGTTGTTCTCCTTTAACTTGACTGTTTCCAGCGCCACGCACGTGTACTTGGAAGGCTTTCAAATCAGCGTAGACTGATTTTACACTGCTAAAGCCAAAGGGGAAGTCTGCCACCAAGCTCAACTGATGCTGGAACATACTCAGGGAAGGAAAATTATGGCTGAAGCAATCAAAGAGAAAACAAACCTACATGCATAGTGTGAAACAGGCTGGTTTCTTTTAACCAAAACACAGTTTTTTACTTCCGTACATATATGGAAGTATCCACTGATAACATTCACACAACAGACAGTTCTAGATCTTAAAAATATGCTCCATTTACTCTTTGAAATAAGTTCTCTGAGGTTCAAAGCAATCTTTTAAACAACACGATTTTAAAAAATCATTATATAATTTAAAGTTTGTTTATCCCTGATCTCCCTCTATGTTCAACAGTGTTTTCAAAATGTAACAACCGGTTTAAATATTTTTAACAGCACCATTAAAATGTAAGGAAATTGATGTGTAGGAATATTAGGCCAACTTTTCTCATCCAAAAGGAAAAAATTTCACTGTGGTAATACTTGAAGAACTGAAGTTCCTGAGGGCTTGAAAAGTAATAGTATTTGCAGTATAGTAGCAAACAGGTAATAGGAAGACAAGTAGGGTGGAAAGAAAGGTAGAAAAAAAGATAAAAATCAGAAGAAGAGACAAACAAGGCAAAAGAGAATGGGTATCTGTCACACACAGCACCATTTCCATGGTATTCTGTCCTATGACTATATAAGCATTTATCTATACTGATTCATTGATGTTCTGGCAGCTTTTATGAAATTTGATTTCTGTTTAACACTTTCCGTATGTTTCTGCATTCTCCACGTATCTCAGTCTCACAATCAAGAGAAAATGATATTCACAAATACTTGACTGATCAATGTTTGAAGTTGGAACTCTGATGATGTTTGAATTTTCATTCAAATTCACAGCCCATCAAAGCAATCCCACAAATACCATGCATCTTCTCTCACATTGTTCCTCTTTGAAATTACAAAAAAAAACCCCAAATGTACTTAAAAGTATTAGTTAAGCTTATAAGAGACCACTTCCTTTCAAGTAGAGATGCTGGGCAGTTACTAAACTAATCACAAGTCTCATGCTAGAAAAAAGTTCAGACTAGCATTATTCCAATGCTGTCATACCTTGTACCTCCATTTAATTAGATATTAACTGAACACTAAAAACTTTAAATGTATGATTTTTCTTCCCCTCTACTAGATGGTAGCTTTACTTCAGTAAGCAAGTGGATTCAGACTAACTCTCCAAGTTAAAAAAAAATAGAGAAAAATTATTAGACACAACATTATTTTACATAAATTGCAAGAATGCATTCTACGGTTAGTTTGCTGACATTCTTCACAGGCTTCACTGATTAGAGGAGCCTGCTCTTTACATACTATGAGCTGCAAGAAACAACTGAAAAACGTATGCGCTTCTGCAATGTTGCAATAATTGCTTCCATATAAAGATAATGCTTGAATTTTTATTAAAAGCACAAACAGATGAGAAAGGTGTCACACAACATGGAAGATGTGGCATATTTAAAGCCTATCTAGTTATCATTTATATTACAAGGAAATCAACAAAAAGAGACTAACAGATTAAAAAAAAGGAATACAGAGTAAAGCAAAGAAATAAAAGATGCAGGCAACATTAACAACAAATTGTTTGTTTAATGTGTTCTATCATGATGACAGCATTTGTCACCTAGAAAATATTACATCTAATTAAAAAAATCATATAATGTCATAAATTATAATGTCCAACCAATAATTATCTCCTATATCTTTACCCTCCTATTAAAATATGTCCAATGGCATTTTTGGGGCAGAAACAAGCTCCTGTGCATTGATAATAAAAACAGTATTTAAAACCCAGCTGAGACCAGTTTCCCCCATAGGAGCACAAATGCTAGCCCAAGATCCTGCATGCTGCATTTGCTTAAATGGTACATCTTTTGCTTAACCATGACACATACACTTTGCCCAATAAGTTGTTTTTAGTTTTTTATATCCAATATTTAATGGATCAGCAGATACAGACTTCGTAGCCTTGCAGTCTTTTACTCCTAACTAGAAAAATGCAAATATCTGTACTGTCTGTATTTTTTTAATGAAACCATAAGCTTTTACATTCATTCTTTCCTCCCATTTCTTCTCTATACGGGATTAATCAGGAAAATAAAAGGATTGTAAAAGACAAAATTCACTTACGCACTAAGAAACCTTCCATCTTTTTCAAGTACACACCGCTCATTGCTAAATAACACACTGAAACAATTCTTATAAACACTCTAAGAAAAAGTCTGACTCTACACCAGTTGAACAGATTTTAAAATCTATCTACGGAGCAATTATATGAGAATCATCTATTTTGCCAGCCTTTATGTTCCCAAATGATTTTCTTTGCTGGTAAAAAAATGCCTATCATGGGATACTTGCCTGCTTACAAAATAAACAACTCTATTTAACCATTCTTAATGAAAAAGGCCACTGCTAACTATTCTGTTTTCTCTAAAATAGATTAAAAGCATGCTGTATTCCCCAGACGGACTTTGTTCAGTTATCTGTGACAGAAACATTTTACTTGTACTTCACTTGATAGCAGAGAATTCCTAGTCCACTGAATAAGTTATTTTTACCGTCCAGTTATTTCTTAAATGGCAAAGCAGGCTTCCTAACCTGTGACAAAATAGAAATCTGTTCTTTTCTGCTTTTAATGCCATTGCCATTACACATGAGCAAGAGTATACCCTATGTGCCTGAAGCTCCCCTCAGGGCAGCAATCTAGCAGAGGAGAGCCTCCTGAGCTCCAAACTGGTATCTAACAGTTGTCCTTCTCATCCTGCTCTCCCCAGCACACAAATCAGACTAAGCTCTGAGGCACCACTCAGCCCAAGGGAACTCTCATCTCCCTCACCTCTCACTGTGACCTCCTGAGCTGCAACAACTGTTGGTGCCATTCCAGTGGTCAGGCAGAAGCACAGCAGCAAGTTCTACCTCACGGAAAGAAAAACGTGATTTCCTCCATCTTTAAGAACCTCCAGGGAAAAAGAGGGAGGTACTTATTTATGCTAAAAAAGCAAATAAAAGCATTTTGTTTTCTTGACTAGAAGTCTACTGGACGGTCCTAATGAAGACATGAACTTTATGGCTTTGTTGATCAGACCCATTGCTTTCAACTTAAACATCCAACAAGGATGAGAAAAGATAGGTTTCACCTAGACCTATGAAAAGATTCAATCATTATTCTCTCTGAGTTCCCTGGATTCTGATTCCTGTAATGAAAAGTGTTAATTCAGATACAACAAACAAAAGACATGTCTAACGCGGAGCAAAGTAAGGATTATGGATGGACATAACATAGCCCCTGTATTTGCAAACATCATATAACTTCCTAAAATTGCAGCTTAAACTTTGTGAGGCTACCCTTTCCTCTCTCCAGACTCCCCTTGTCAAACTTCCTTTGTGCCTCACCATTTTTACTGCAATTAAATACCAGTATATCAGAGCACAACTTTTTGTCTTATGGAACGAGTTCATGCCAGAGGATGTGTCTTACTTTGCCAAATTGAATAAAATCAGACAAGCAAAAATCTTAATTTCTGTCTTATGGTCAAGTGTAAGGCACTACTTTCTTTGGTTAGTAAAGGCTGGGGAGAGTTGTTTGTTGTTTTGACAAACACCAGCTAATCCCACCATTACTGTTTCACTTATGGAGAAACGATTGCCCAAGCCATAAAATTTGCTACCAAATAATTAGTACCAGTGTGACCCAGAACACAATTTGTCCTTTCCTCACCAAACTCATGAACTGGCTTGTTATGGCATATGCGAAAGAAAAACTGATTTATCAAACCTCCTTGAATCCTTTTCAAGCTACTAACTAGTAGCACTTTGCATTCTTTGTTGAATGAATATCTGATTCTGCTCTGCCATAAGTGCCCCAAAATCTACCATGGACCAAAAATCAAGCTTGAGGGCAAAGACAAAGTATCCAACAAAAAAGGTGAGTACATCAAAAGGTAAGTGATAATATAAGCTGTGCCAAGAAACATTAACTTGGAAATGAAAAAAACAAAGGCATATCAATGCAGAAGCGAAATTAAATCTAAACAGGAAAAGAAATATTAAAATACTGAGTTTACTGAAGTAAAGTCACAGAATGAAACCCACAGGGACTGTACTCTTTGAAGAGACAAACCAGTCTGAAACCAAGAAATAAGATAGAAACACAACATTAAAAAAGTACACATAGATTAGTCAGTTAAAAACAGGTATTTTCAGGATAAAGCTAAGAAAATTATGTTATTTCAAGAAAATCTATGTAGACTCAGTTCATTAGGAACAAAAATGGAAAACACTTAAAGAGAGTCACAAGACAGGAAAACGACAGCAAAAAGATTTTGCCAATAACTTCCATTGAAGAATATAGACTGAAAAACCTACAACAGAAAGAACACGAGGTGTCATCCCCTGCTTTGCAAGTGACTGGATAAAAGAAGACAGGCAAAAGCATCCTGAAGAACACAGTCTAGCTCCCATATCTGGGAAGCAGCAACATCTGGCTACTGTAATGGCAGACAAAATTACATTCCAACATCTGCCCCAGCAGTTCAGGGTGGTTTGCCAGAATCAAGCACAGATTTACACGTCAGGATGAAAAATCAAAAACTAGGCTGATGCTACCACCTTTTAAAAACCACCTAATACTAAGTTCAGCTGAAGAACTGAGACAGTCAATAGATCAATAAACACATATATGGCCAATGAAAAATAAAAAAAAAGGAAATTAATTCAACTAGTGTTTTCCATACAACAAAGAGACTATTTGGCAAGATAGTCTCTACTTGACACGGAAAAGCACCAGACTCTGACTTCACAACCAGAAGAACTTGTTATGCAGGCTTTAAACACAGTAGGTGGTAATAGGGAACTTCCCTTTAAAATGAACCGTAGAACATACTTAGCATTTTAAACACAAATAGAAAGGATGCATGTTTTGTAGCATAACGATTGTTTTAAATGCTGGCTTATTTAAGGTTCTGAATCTAAACAAAGTACATTGCAAGACTATCAAGAGGCATTTAATATTAAATAGAGCATGAAACTGCAGAAATACATGACTGAGAATGGAGAGTATCCCAGCACAACCGAACAATTAAATTCCTATGTTTTCTGCCAGTTACCACCTGTTGACGACTGGTACATCTAAGACGACTTCCTAGCTGGGTGGGTATATTAGGGATCATGCAATATGGCATCTACCAAGACATTCTGTCCTCATTCAGCCACTGGCAATGGTTAAATGGGACACGTATCTGCCTGCCCCTCTCACTTGAATTTACACAGACACAGTTTGCGAAGTGTTCCTATGACAGCAGCCCCAGAGGCTTCACTCTGCTCCCCATGCTGCAGGATGCCAACCTGCAGGGGAAGGGTGCGCGGAGAGACAGGAGCAACAGCATCTTAAAGAGCTACAGTCAGGGGTAAGAAACAGGTAAGGCTCACCACCAGAGTCTTTACACAGTCAGGCCTCAATTATCCATAGGTGGATTACCTACTTTGTGGCTAACTATGCTGCACGTGCAGAAGCATTTGAGCTGCTTTCATCTGATCTAACTCGTGTCCGGAATCAGAAAGTTGTATCTGTACCATAATGTACAGGGTGCATTTATTAGTTTGGTTAAACACTATTTCAGAGAGCAGCATCCCTGATCTATTTCACGTGAGTATGATCTTGCAGCTTAATTTTACAGTATTTTGTGTTATCCATATTTTGCATTATCCCATTTCATTGTTTTCCCAGATAATAGAGAATTAACTGTACCTCATATAAACTCAAAACATGGCTGCACAAGGTTACTCAAGGAACTCAAGAGATGATAAATTAAGAAATGCAGTGATCCTAGGTAAGGAGAAGCAACATTAAAATCCATAAGTACAGAATATAAAATTAAAACAAGTTATTATACATTTCAAAAAAGTGTCCAAAGGAAAAAAAAAAGGAAAAAAAAAAAGAAAAAAAGAAAAGAAAAAAAAAAAGGTAACTGAAGCAGAGCATGAAGTATGCCTCATAGTGGAGTGATTTAATGCTACACAAAATTGAAGTGCCTGAAATGGCAATTAAACAAACCAGCCTAACAAAGCTTTTCTATTTCTACAACAAACAAATGTTCAGCTGTCACACTCTGATGTTCCTAGGTGCTGCACTGAGGAAGCATTATGCTAAGTAACATACTTAGAGTAAGCTCTAGTTCCCACAAATGGATATCCTCAGTAGAAACAGGATTGATGATATGCTCTGTTTTTCTCCACCCTCTACTTTTAAGTCTTTTGAAATGTGATTCAAATGGATTGTGCCACTGTTCCTAAGGGAGATTAAGATATTCATGGTTGCTTCTCAGCTATGAGCAGCAATAGCTACTCTTTTTGTTAGCAGCATACCTCTGTCCTTTGCTTAATCACGAGAAGAAAACACACCCTAACAGCAAAAAACCCCATATTGTTGCCTGTATCTAACTATAAATGGGGTGGAAGGGGCGGGGACTTAGCAAAAAACAAGACAAAGATAACGAATTGTCATTTGGACTTCCAAAAAACAGGGTTTTTTACTTTCCCTTTTCCGTTAAATAATTTTTTTGTTTTCTTAATGTCTTGGCAGTGATCTTAGTAACCTGCATATACGTGCGTTTTCAAACAACGTCACATTTATTATCTTTCAGTTCTTACTAAGTATATAGCATTTAGTTTACTGGAAATCTTACTCTTTTGTTCATATGCTATAAAATGCTACAGAAATAATTTATAATCAGACATGCAGTTCCCAATATTTCTCTCCATTAGTTTCACCAGAATTTTTAGCTGGTACATGTTCCTAAAAATACCCCCATTTGAGTACATATGTGAGATCTGCATTTCATTAAATAACACAGAAAATCTGGTTTTGGTACTGTCATAAGCCCTCCCGCAGGTATTTCGAGCACCACCCAGGCCCATATCATAAGAATTTTGATGGCTTTACCCAGACACTTACAAGAAATCATAAGGTAATCTTCACAGTTGCCCTTCTCGTCTTGATGTTCCACAGGGATTCCATTGGCATCGATCACTGCCTCTGATGCACAGTCTGCCACCAAGACTTCTTCAGAAACAACATCTGTTCCCAGAGTATCAGTGACAATATCTGCTTCTTCAACGTTATCATGAACTACATGCTCTACATGTCCAACTTCAGGTACATGCATTGACTCACTTGTCAGTACATGTTCTGGTATAGACATGGCTTCTGCTGTTATGTCAGAAGCTAAAACATCATCTGGGACAGTGCAATGAGCCAAAGAAACCTCTTCGGCTACGTCTGTGTCCAGCACTTGTTCAGGAATAATGACAGTTTCAGATACGTCTGGCTCCTCCATGATATCTGGGCACTGAACATCCTCGATAACAACATCCTCAATGACATCTTGGATTACTACGGAATCTGGATCATCAGGAACAAAATTATGCACGGTTATATCTGAGTCGACTACATCTGAAACAAATACTGTTTCCTGTACTTCCACAACAATCTGATCTCCATCCATATGTCCTGCATCAGCTCCTGGAAAACATAATTAAAATAGCAGTTAAATTGTAAAACTAACTCAGATGAAGTGTTTAATAATTGAAATTACTTCTGTTTTACTTCAACTTTTACACTATGCTGCAATTCAGTAAAACAGGCATAGTAGCCTGTAAGCAATTAAGATTAGGCAGATATATGGGGCGCTGATAAAGCAAGTCCTCAGTAGGTGCTAACATAACTACGATGAACAACATTTTCTCTCCTGGAAAAGGTTACCAATTTTCAGACTCTCCCCCAATATCCAAACAACTATTACTTGACAGAACAGTAGCTCATTCATATTGCTCTGAGTAATAAAAACAACTGAAAATCGAAAGTGACTACTCTACACAAAAGCATTGATGCAGCATAGCACTTTTTAAGCAAAGACAAAATAAGCAACAGTCAATAGCATCTAATGTGAACACTCTTATCTACACATTATCTCCTGACAGACCTGTTGGATCAAAAAATGCATTTGGCTCATGTGGCTGCAATTCAAGCCCATCTTCATCCATGGCCTTTAACTCTCATCAGTCACAGCGTCTGTGGAAGGTAAAGAAGAAAGGTTATTTAACTCATATTATGCTATGAAGGTTGCCTCTGCCTGTGCACTGAAAAGCAGAAATTTTGGGCTCATACAAGTTAACAGATAACACCTCTTGACTTTAAGATGGACTACATTTCACGCAGGGTACCTCTGTTTGGGATTCCAGAAATACTACTCTAGAACACCAAACACCCAGGGTCTGAATAAGAGGAGTGTGAGCTCCAATACTCCAGGTCCCTTTCTCAAAACCCCACAGCTCCACAAATACAGAAGCAGCTGATAACGGGATACGAAAATATGATTTCCTTATAATCTTACAAAGAAAAAAAAATTAAGACAAAGCCTAGACAAGTTCACACTCAAGTCTTTTTTGGATGGTGGGGAATACAGCATTGTCAAATCAATAAAGCTTGATAAGGTAAGTTAGACAGCTAATAATCTGAAATGCACGCCGCTTTTGATGTCCCCTGTGTTCATACTTGGGCAGTCAGGAGGAAGTTACTCTTATGTCACTTCAGGAATTGAAATAATCAATGTAAACTGCTTCCAGAGCATAACACCACATGTTTTCAAAACCCAGATGTGCGAATATTTTAAAAACTCCTGCCCCACGACAAAGTACCTATTTGCTTTTGTATTAAAAAATATTACCAGTTCTCAAAAATTACCAAATGTCATATTCTGCCAAATTTCTTTGAACAGAATGTCAACCTTTCTTCAATGTATAAGAACAACTTAAGATTTCAATCTTCTTAACAAAAGAACCAAACAAGACCAGAAAGTTAAAATACTTAATAAAATCTGAAACTGCAATCTAAATTTTGCTGCTTATATATGTGCATTATAATCAGGATCAGGCAGACCTAGTTGAGTAAAATGCGATCTAACATAAACTTATACTGCTTTCTTGCACTTAAGAGTTTCTTAAGTGCAGAACCAGCAAAAGGCAACAGAACGTTGCTGCACGTTTCTGCTCGTGTTTCTGTACAAGTGGAAGTTGTGATTCTTCTTCCTCCAAACATTTTTCACAGTGACAGGCAGAAATCTCCCCATTCTGGTCATACTTTCACAAAAGACCTAGAGAAAACATTAAGATTCTGCCCAAGGTTTCCATAAGAATCATAACCTTTCCATAACCTTTCCATCATAACGTCAACTAACATTTATGCTAATTAAGTCTTCATGGGTGAAACAAAAGAAAAAATTAACAACTACTCCAAAACACAAACCTACAACCATAATCTGTAGCAAGTATTTTCTAGACTTCACCATTTTTCTAGCTCAACTTTTCTCAACTCTTCGCAGCTAACCACCTAATTTACACATGAGAAAATGTATTTTTACAAGTTGAGGGAGAAATATAGCCAGATTGAACTGGAGGAAAAGCGGCAGCAGTCTAGTAATTTTCCAAGGGGTCCCATATTTGTGTGATGTTCAGTTGGAAGGCCCCTGTATTTTAAAGACAGCTGCGCTAACAAATTATTGTGGTGTCCAGATGAACATAAATCACCTCACAATTATTCTGACTGTCAAGCATTTCTGTCAGAAGCACCCACTATTTACAGGAACAGCCCATCACACAGATGCTTTTTTCAGAATCAAGAACAGAAGAAAAGCGTTTCTCGGCCTCAGATATAAGACATATCTTGACTGATGGCAATCAACTTCTGCCACGCCACAGAAACAAGAACAGAATAACAAGGTTTCATACAGTCATTTAAGCAATAATTATTCATACCCAAATTGGTTTACTTCCATCTATTCAGTATACACCTAGCCAGTTTATTACAAACAACTTTCCTATTCATCTTGCCATCTTTTCTGTGTTGTCTTCAGTGTTTAGTTTCTTCTTTCCTGTTGCTTCTTCTCCAAATTCTTGTGTGCCTGTACCTATAGCATGTTCATTACCTCCTCGTCACTCATTTAATCTCTCCAGCTTAGAACTACAGCACACTCCCATCATTCACACAAAGCCATGCTACTCATCAATTTGTAGCAAAGATTGTATCAGCAATTCAGAGATTTTTTTGGAGAAGGCAGGGGGGATTAAGGGTTGGCAGAAATAAATTGCCTCTCTCCTTGGGCAACACACACATAAGAAGCTAGCACTCGCTGTCCAGCTCTCTGGGAAAAGTCAAGACGTTTCTGCCTGTGCTTTTGAGGATTGTATTATCATACATATTAGCCTCTGATTGGCTGCGACCCAACCAGCTTGAAGTGCCAGTTCACCACTAGCTACTGGAAGAACTGGCATTCGTTTTCTCCGCTTCCTGCTTTCATCACCCACCTGACCACCACTCCACCACAAATACCTACTTCTTATGATTCATTCATGTACTTTCTCTATCCTATCCTCTCCCCGAATTCCTCACTGTCTCTATGAGTGAGGCTCTCCTTCATCGTCCTTCTGTCTATCCTCTTCAACCATGTGACCCAGAGGCTGCCACCATTACTTCCCGGCTTCCAGAACGAGCCTGTTGACGCCATCTCTTCACTGCTGCTCTCACTGCTGCCCAGATTCCAGGCTACTGACGCTAAAACTAACAAGTCTCTGTGGTGTTTACGATGGTACAGATTCATAAAGACACTGCCACCAGCAGTGACAGCCCAGCAGACCTTCAGCTGCATACTCTGCATAACAGCATGGCCTCTTCTGTATTGGCGAGGTCTTTTCACCTACAGAGGCACAATATGCTGGAAAACAAAGGCTCAGGTTCTACACAAACTGAAGACGTTTCCCAGGCACATGGGTTTTCAAGACCGAATCTTAAAAAGGCCACAGATTTATGCTTTGGTACTTGTTCCAAAGAAGAAGGAAAAAAAAACCCTACCCTTTCACTGAATGAGTTTCTTCCTAAACAAGGTTTCCCATAATGCGCTTTTGCACCCAGACCCAGCCAACAAATTCATGTACAGAAATTCTTACCCCTGTGCAGGACCATACAGACTTTAAAAGTACTCCACTAGGGCACAGACCCCATCTCCACAGACTTCTGCTGCAGAAAGAAGACCAGAAGAGGATGCAGCCATTTAAAAAAATACTTAACTAAACTATCTAAAATGATAAAGGTGCCTAAATCAAAATCTGCCATCCAAAAAGGCATCAAGGCATTTGTCCGTGGATGGGGGAAAAAAAAAATCCCCCAACATTTCCTGAAATAATTTCAGGGTTTGAGCATTCTAACCAGCAGATGAGAAAATACTGTGTTTCTTCCTGCTTGCTCTTCTTCTGAGCAGTGGGCCAGCAAGGGGCCCAAGATTTCAGCCACACAAAGGAAGGTATGCCACATGGTTCTGTACCAACCGGCAGCTCTGTGATGAAGGCACTATTCTGCCACACGAGAAATACCAGAGCGTCCTGTTGCGAGCACCACACCGAATATCTTCAAATTCCCTGGCAAGCACCCTAAGCTCTGTGGTACCGTAAGGCTAAGAAGAATTCCAGCAGTTCATTTTTCTGCGAGATTTCAAGAAGGGCAGAAAGTCCTCTCAGTTCTTTCAAAATATTCCAGCTGACGCTTACCTCAGGAGCAGGTTCTGGCACTGAAGCAAACAGAAGCAATTTTCAGTTCCGGTTTGGGAACCTAAACTCTCAAAGAGAAGCAGGTGCCATTTCCCTACTATTAGTCCTTCTCAACACCCAAATCTACGTGGCTCTTTGTTCACATCTCAGTAATCCGGGAACTGCTCTTCTACAACTACAACAGAAAAAGCCTAGGCACTTAAAACTAGGTTTTATACCTCTGAAAACAACTAAACATCTACATCTTTTACTTGGCTTGGGTCTATGTCAGCCTCACATGGATCGATTAATATAACTCTGAAATACACCTAATTCTGTTTGTAAAGTTAGTTCTTGCAAATTGATTTTTACCTATTTATTCAGAGACTTGGCTGGTTTTGGTTTTATGAAAGTCATGGCAATATTTTGGACAGATAGAAAATTATATATTCATGGAAGAAATGGTATTAAGCTACTATCAATAAAATAACCTCGCAAAATAAAAATAGGTATTTTCTGTAAATCTGATCTTGAGTGCAATCAGTCAAGAGAAGCAACGCAGAGAGTGCACTAGTCTTGTCACATTACAAATCCTTGACTCAATAGGCCTAGCAAGGTAATCAGGATGGAATAAAAAGAAATAGACGAGCTGTCACGTTTTAAAGAGAGAACAACTTTAAAAATAGAGTTCCTTAGAAGAAAGAGCTTTAATATGCCACAGAAACTGTCAGTTTCTCTGCTCTCACAAAAAGAAAAAAAAGGAAAATGGGAAAAAAGGAGAAAGGGAAAAAGGGGAAACTTCAGAAAAGCCATCCTTATGAAAAAGAAATATCGAAGATAGTCCTTTGCCTAATCCTAAGGAAAGAAGAGTACATCTGTTTATTTGGGGTCAGGGGCATAAACCAAACACTGGCACAGCAAAACTCTGACCCTTCCCAGAAAAAACAAGGCATAAACAGCAAAATTCCCCACATCCCAGGCCCGGCCCCTACCTACGCTGAGATGACTTAGTGTACAACCATAACCAAGTTCCCATCGTGCCTTGCTACTTCACATTAAAAATTGCAGCATGCCTTGCATGTCCCAATTGGGCTAGAGCCCCAAGCTACCCGAAGCTTCGCTGTGGTTATGAGACGACTGCGGGTTCAGTCTACACTATTGCTGCAGCGTCACAACTCTCCCTACGTGACCCACTTACAGAGAATACCATGTACACATAAGCTTTCAATCACACACACGAAAGGTAAAAAAATTATATTCCTACAGCGTCTAATTCTTATCTTGGAAATAAGCCCCACGATTATTAGGTGAATAAACGGAAGAATAAAAATGTTACAAATGTGACAGTGTAATCATTTAGCTGTTTATTTCTTGATGCATCTCCCTCAGTTTTGGCAGGACAATCGGTACTGCTGTTTTCATTGCGATTTCGCAAAAAACAGCAAGTCTTTTCCTCTTTGTTGTAGTTCAGTGGTGTGGGTATTTGCAGAAACTGGTTA